CCCCCTCCTTCCCTCCCTTGCCGCCTTCCGCCCCTCGCCTCACGTCATTCCGAGCTTTTCCCTTATTTGCATAGAAGCCGAGAAGAACACCACGGGAGGGGGGGTTTGCAAACTGCAGACGGGCCCCGTGACCAGCTTGGGAGGACGTGGCGGCGGCGGCGGCGTGGGGGGAGGCGGCGGGAAGCGGGGCGGAGGAGAGAAACTAGCGAGCGTGGGGAAATGACAGGCAAGCGCCAGCTCTCAGGTTCCGCCACGGGTAGGGTAGCAGGAGAGAAGGAGAGAGCCCAAAGCGTGTCGGGGAGCTGGGCGGCGGGCGCGCGTGCCTCCGGCTTTCTTGGCGGGCAGCGCCGGGCGCGTGTTTGTGAGGAGGGGCGGCCGGCGGAAGGACGGGAGAGCCGGTGGACGGTGAAGGGCGAGGGAAGGCGGAATGGGGCAAGGGCGCCTAACAGCGCTGCTTGGGATTGGAAGGAAACGCCAATTGACTGGTGAGGAGACGCAGCCAGAGAGTCCATGCTGGCTTCCTCTCCTTCCCGCCCCTACCCCTTCGTTCAGCAGAGGCTGCGAAAGGGTAAAGGACCGGGAACTCTCCCAAGCTGGAAGCTCTTTAGAATCCCCTGAGTTCCTGAGGGGAAACGGAGAAGTTCATCATCATCATCATCTTAAAACTGCAGAGCTGGAAGGGACCCTGTGGATCATCGAGTCCAACCTCTGTCAAGGAGACACAGAGGGGAATCGAACTCCCAACCCCTGGCTCCAATGGGCTGTTCAGCAGTTGTGTACATGTGGAGGTCAGTGGTTGATCCTCTTTTCCTCGCCTCATTTGGACACCCTGGCGGGGGGGGGGAAGGGTATGGGTCTGGCCCAGCCTGCTGCCTAAAAGATTTGAAGATGCCTGTGCCTGCACTTTTGCCTCTTTCCTTGTCCCCCTCCCCACCAGAGTTGAGGCAGCTAGTGGTCAGCTAGCCCAGGACTCCATACCACATCATGACTTAAGGGTGAGCAGCCAAAGGTTGTAATGCTGCTCCACAGAAGGGTAACTAGTTATTTTGGCACCAGAGGCAAGAGGCACCATCGCTACCCTGAACCCCCACAAAATAAACAAACAAATTAGCAGAATGTCCCCCCCCAAAAAAAAGAATTAGATTATCTATCTATTTAGTTATTTTAGAGAATAGGACTGGGAGATGTGGCCATTTATTTTTCTACTACTCTCCTATAGAGTCACGTCTAGATTTTGGCATCCTCTAGATTTTGGTGCCTCAGGGCAAAGTGCTCATTTACAGCCCTGCTCCTTTGTGGAACAACAACCCCACCCCTTTTGCCCACTTGCTCCCTCTGAATGGCAAACCCCCCCCCTTTTCATGCTTCATAATGCAAAAAGATAGGATGCACACACAGCTAGAGCATTGTAGACGGAGAGAGCACATGAACATCTGGACTGATGGGTGACTGTAATGTGATTTGTCCCTCCTATTTGAGAATAATGTGGTAAATATGGCATAGATTGATTTAAATAAGTAGAGTAAAATAAAAACCGGGTGAGATTTCGGATGAATAATTGCATCATTCTTGGTGAGTGTCCTACTTGTGGGGACAGGAAAGGAGGCATGCAAGCTAAAGAAAGCAAAGGTGCCTCCTACTTCCTCTCTCTTATTCACCTACTCTGGGCAGTATTGCAGTGCAGACAGAACCAAAGGTGCTGCAGAGAGAGAGAAAGAGAGAGAAAGAGAAGTGTTTTCTGCCTGTTCAGCAAAACAGTATAGAAGGTTGTAATGGAAGAAGCAGGTACCTCATCTCCTCACTTGCTTCTGTGAATTCTTCTTCTGGCCCACACAGTGATGGAGATCATGTGAAAAGGATAAATTTCTCCCTCCTGTGCCATCCAGAGGAAGAGAGGGAGGGGAGGGTGGCAGCAGCATCTTGCTACCTCTGCAAGACTGGTTTCCTTTTCTTGCTCTTGGCAGGTTGTTGAACGCTTGCTGCCCTTCGCTCAGATCACTTACCTTCCTTTTCTGCCTGCTTGCCTATCATTCCCTTGCACTGGCTGCCCGTTTCCGCATTGATTTGAAATTATTAATGATGACATATAAAGCCCTAAACAGTTTAGGACCTCGATATCTAGTGGAGAGCCTCCGCCCATCTAGATCTACTCGAATCACTCGCTCTAGCCAGGAAGGGTGGCTGAGGGGCCTAGTGCCAAGAGAGGCCCAGAGAGAAAGAACAAGAAAGTGGGCCTTCTCGGCAGTGCCCCCTCGCCTTTGGAACAGTCTGCCCCCAGAGATCTGTCTGGCTCCCTTGCTGGGTGTTTTTAAGAGCAAACTTAAGACCTGGCTCTTTAGCAAGGCTTTCCCTCCTGTCATCATTTGAATATTTCCCTCATCCTGAACTATATTACTATTGTTGTTTTTTATTTTATTATATTGTTTTTATTTTATTTTTTATTGTTAGCCTCCCAGAGTAGACTTCAGTCTAGATGGGTGGGGGTATAAATAAATAAATAAATAAATAAAATAAAATAAAATAAAATAAAATATCCTTTCTGCCCATGCTCTGCTGTGAAAAGAAACTTAGGAGTGCCAGAGGACCAGAGGACAAAGGGAGTTATTGACCTTTGCCTCTGCTCGCTTACTCATCTTCTCTCACTGGGCAGTGCGGAGGAGGAGTAAGCAACAGAAATGGACTGTAAACACTCTTGGTTTCTTGACACTCTTCCTTTCTCAGCAGGTATGGATGACTTGGCTAATCAGGTCTGAGAGCTCAAGTGATGGAAAGGATGAGGTAGGTACTTCTTCAATGTGCAGTCCTTTGTCAGGCTGCCCAGATGCATTGCTTTTCCTCAGGGCAGCCTTGTGTTTTTTCATGTCAACCTGGTGAGACCTATTTTATGTTGGACAAGGAAAAGGAGGCTAGGACCTCTGGTTATAACCACCAGAAGTAAAAGCACACTGTAACAAGGGATTTTTCTACCCATACTGTATCTATAAGGCAGATGGCCTTTCCAACTACTTCAGATTTAAAAATTGCACAGCACTTTAACACAACATATTGCTATGATTTTTGGAGGTGGATGGGTGGGTGGGATTTTTATCTATAGACCCCTTTTAAAACTAGTAAGCCACTGCAAGACTCAATGGAGTTTTGAAAGGGGATGAGGCTTTGTAAATAGGGGTGGGGAATTGGTTTAATATATCTCTAAATGGTCCCAGTGAAGGAGAGCACTCTTTGCATAATTGTATATGTTGTTTTTGTTGTGTTTGTTTATTTAAATTTCTTTTTAAAATTCAAATGAGTTACAAAAAAATTGGTAAGCCACTGTACTATCTCATTCTCCCCAGTTGATGGTAGATTGTATCTAATCTGATTTTGCTTTGTTTTTGTTATTCTACTGAGTTTCTTCTGTAGTTAGCCATTCTGCACCAGTATTTTCTGCTGATGCTTTGCATGATATACATATTCCGTAGAGTCCCATATGGGTAGTTGTTTGTGGTAAATCTAGAAGCAGGGATGTTCATACTGACAGTTCTTGTAACCAGTCCTCTCCATAAGAAGAGTCCAAGAACACTGGCACCAGAATCAGAAGCAGGTCTTTTGTAAAATTACCAATTCAAGAACAAACCATGCTGAATTATTTTGCATTACAACATGGATAGCTTACAATGGTAACTTGTTTCTGGGGAAATCCAGGAACATTTTTCTCTTAACTACAGTGATGATTACAGCTAAGTTCAGGGAGAAATTGGAAGCCTGTGGTATGGATGAAATCCAGACTCAGAACTAAGCTTCAACCCTGTGAATCCTGGCTCCACTATACTGCTGTTTATGGTTCTGCTGCCTGGTAGACAGAAAAGGGGTTAATAAACATATGAATAAGTGAATGTATGAATAAGTGAATGAGTGAATGATTGAATGTAGAACATTATGGAACTTGCTACATGGACAGTGTTGAATGATCAGTTCTCTATAGACCAGACTTGTTCTCTATAGACCTGACGTCCAAAACCTTGTGATGAAATGCTGAATACAAACAATTCATCAGATGGAACACTGAAGGGGAAGCAAAGTTTAGAAGATGTAGTCACCGCACCAAGACATATACAAGTACACATATCATCATGCCTTACATTTTTGTTAATTAAATTACAACTTCCAAAGTAGAGGGGTGCACAAAGTCCCCAGTCCTGATCAGAACAGAAATTGTCCCTGCCACTCAGCCAAAGGATCTTAAACAAAAGAAATGTCATTGATGCTGATAGGGAATTTGCCTTCTCATATTGCCTTGGGAGAGAAAAAGTAAGCCTGCTCTCATCATGTGCTACATCTAAGATAGAAATTGCACAAAACACATATTGTACATACCTGCTGTTTAATAAATAAAAATCACGCTGCAATTCTGTAAATGTAACATGTAGTTTGGCCTTTAATTTTCTGTTTAGTAGACAAGAAATAGCAAATTCCAAAAGGCAGAGTTTGCTCACATTTTTACCTTCTACTTATCAAGAAAGCAGGTTTCCAACCTTGGGTCCCCAGATGTTCTTGGACTAAAACTCCCAGAAGCCCTCACCACTACCTGTGTTGGCCAGGATTTCTGGGAGTTGTAGTCAATGAACATATGAGGACACAAGGTTGGGAGCCACTGATCAAGAATTTCTTTTGGGGTAGATCATGTTGTTGCACAGACCTATATCAAATTTTCAGTTTCTTCTTTCAGCTACTGAAAAATTCATTACAATTAAATTGTCATTATAAAATTTTCTCTGAACTGTTCCTTCATCCTGCTTGGAGCAACCAAGCAATCACATTAGTTCTTCTACATACATGATTTTCCAGTGATCTCTATTTCCAATTCTTAGGGGTTTTCTAAGCTAAGAAACATCAAATACAGAAGCTGCTGAAACAATCACTTACAGCATAATCTTAGATTTGCCTCTTTTTAGCGCCAAGAAAGTGGCTATCATATTTTAGTCTAAATGGAAATCTCAACTGATTTTGCTTACAGGTCCCCATTAGGAGGCTCAAAACAAAATGAAGAGCTTGCAAAATCAACCAATTGATAATTTCTTTTTTTCTTAAAGGAAACCATTTTGTGAGGTAAGTTTACTGTGCGATTAACAGACACTGACTACATTTTTCCATAGTATGAACTATGAGCTGGATACAGGTTATTTGTGAAATGGCTCTAAAATTTAGTGCAAAATTTAGATATCAAGATAAACACTGTGTACAAAATAATCTGATGGAGATGTGATCCATCCTTCTTTGCTCATGATGTGTTGATGACTTGCATATATGATTCGGCCATCACATATTAATAACAACAGATTATCCTTTCACATCTCAGAATTTCTATTCAACTACTAACATTTATACAGGAGAACACTTACATGTTTAGCTGAGAATCATAAAGTGACAGGACATCAGATTTTTTTTTCTGAATGATAGGCTGAATAAGAAACAGAATTACTGTTGAGAAATGCTTTTCCATGCCAAAACAGAGGGAAATTATGTTTTAAACAGTGTGCTTTTCTTGACTTTAACTCACTTGGAATAGATGTACTGTACTGAATTTCAGTTTTCCTCTTCATATATATTCCATGTACTTTTCATTCAGTCTTATGCTTTTTTTCCCCTCTGAGTTATTTCTTCCATTCCTTTAATAGTTCTGTCAGTACCAGATTAGTACTAGGAAATTGTTATCCCTAGAGAATGACAGAAGCAACAGCAGGTGTTGTTGAGCTTTCAGAGGTCAAATGAGCATACTTGGCAGCTGCAAAATATTTGAGTGATGACAGCAATAGCAACTAATATGGTCTTTGATGCACGTGTTGCTACAAGAAAGTATGCTCATTCCCCTCAAAAATGTATCTAAACTGGATGATTTCTTGTACCCAAAATTATCTAAGATGTGTTGAATGGATCTCTTAGGCACGGAAATGTATAAGTACATCTATATGTGGAAAAACATGCCTTTCCTGAAAGAAGACTGAAATGTGATCTTTATTCAAAATGGAAAGTCATTCTCAACTTAGTGTTAGAGCCGCTTTTCTGCCTTTGGTGTAATAGCATGATATATTTGGAGCTCTTTGATGGACAAAAATATCTGACACAGATTTTTGTGTGCGTTTAGTCTTTGGACAAATCGTCCTTTGTTAAAAAAATTTTAAAAAGGTAATTAATTATCACAAAATAGCAAATAGCTCCCAGCTTGACCTCAAATTATATAGCACTTCCATTCTCAAAGTGAAATGGTAGTTATGAAATATTAATTGGCTGTAAAACATGAATTGGCAAACTGAATTATCAAATATGCAGGGAAGCATTTTAACAGTCTGTAGCACTAATGCCTACTATCTTTATCGTATTAGATATCCGTGTTCAGCCTTGCCCTGCAAAATCGAATTATGTACTTCACTCCAAGATAAGCGAGAAGTCCCTTTAACTTCCCAGGAGTCTCTCATGAGCTCAGTGTTAAATACCACCATGAATCTTTAATGGACCAAAGTTCTCTGAATAGGTTGCATGGGCAGATTTATTCTTGTACACCAAATATTGTATGTATGAATGTATTTGTCAAAGATTGAAAAGGGGAGGGTTGTGTTTTGTTTTTTGGGTTCATGATGATGATGATGATGATGACTTCTGTTCTCAAAGCATCCAGCCAGCTTGTCTTGTGGTCATGCTAAGAGGGGGAATTCTGGGTGGTATAGTCTGAAGAACATTTCTGGTAGAAAGGAGTAAGCAAATCAGTTTATTTCCAAATTAGGTCAGCTTTTCATGTGTTCAAACAGAAGTCTGTTCTGTTCTCTTTCCTGTTTTTTTTTAAAACTAAATTGTCTGCACTTACCCCACAAAATAATTTTTGACATGCAATGCTCCCTCTAATTTGTGCTTCTATGCATTGTACTATGCATTGTACTCTGATTTCTGTATTATTGCATGCTTTTTCCAGAGCCAAGAACTTCACTAAAGACTCAGTCCATGGGATAACTGTATTCTGACGCACTTACTATTCAATTCACTATACAGTATACATTCAATTCACTTACTATTCAATTCCCTCTTTCCCTCATTTTTCTCTATTTTATCTTCTTTCTGGTTTGTATTTGTTATTTGAAGTTTTATGTAATCTTTCTGTTATTTTATTACATATTTATGTTATACTGGAAGCTGCCTAGAGTGGTCGTATAAGACCAGATGGGCGGGATATAAATCAAATAAATAATAAATACATTAGGTTGATTATCTTAAAAAAGCAGACTGAACAAAATTTTCCCATTCCTTATGCACATCATCCGCCTTAGATTCTTTAGTGTTTAAAAGAATAAGAGATGAATTAACACATACTGTACATTTTCATACATGAATGCTACCCAAATCCATATACTCGTGTGTGTGTGTGTGTATGTGTGTGTGTGTGTACACACACACACACACACACACACACAAACTCTTTACTTGACTATTTCTAGGTGAGAAAGGAGAAAATTTAGGGGAAATTTGTACATTTGAAATTTTAAATAAACTATCAAGAAGTTGAAGTTTTGGATGGGTTATTTGTGTTTGTGTTTTCCTTCAGAAAGGGAAAAGTCATTGGAGCTATTCTATGCAAACTGCACAAAGTACAACACCTCCCGTCTCCCAGTCTCCTGCTTTTGCTCTGAAGTTAGGAACTCCAGTGCAGACTGAAAATATCTCAGGAAGCTGCTTAATTGTGGCAGAAAAGCCTTTCTCAGCTGAGACATAAGATACTGAAAATATATTTTTTTCATGTTTGTACACTGTGTGTGTGTGGGTGTGTACAAAAAACACAGGCACGAATGCACATTCTTACATACAGACTAGTGACAAAACAGCAATGGGAATCATATGGTGCAATCATATGGTGGAGCCTGCTTGTATTAATGTGTCCTGCAGACCCTTCCACTCAATTAAAAAAAGAATCAGCCTTAAAGTAGAGGTGTTGTTCTGGAAGTATCCTTAAAAATGAATCAGAGAGACCCATGCAACTTGTTTAACACAGAACTCTACAAAAAGCTTTCTAAACTCAGATGTTGACTTCAAGCCACATCAGGTTTCTCTTGGTTTACCTATTTATTTCTCTGGTTTTCCAATTAGTGAGGACAATGGAAGGTTCTTTAGACCTCAGAATTGGCCTTTGGCTCCTATAGGTTTGCTCACCCTTGGAGTTACAAAAGAAAAATGTAACTGAGGTAAGAAGGAAAATGAATGTATATTAATTAAGCACAAGTACCATTCACAAAGCTGTGTTCATGTCAGCACAAACTTTTTGGTGTGTGTCAGAGAGAGAGAGAGAGAGTTACCTTGGACATTTCTCACAACTGTATGTATTTTTTCCACAATAAGTACTATTGCTCCATTACGTATTTAACAGACTATCTGGACTGGTATCCCATCTAGAATTACAGCTTGTTTAACATAAAACCAACAGATTACTTTTTCCTGTCATTCATTTCCACTTTCAATCAGTACAAGGTTTCATTGTGGTTTGTAGATGCCCTGCCAGTTCTGACCATCCTAACCTCTAGTGATTGATGGTAAGTTGAATCAAGAGGACGCTTATTTTAAAGCCAGCAGTACAATTGTACAGAAATATTGTAGTTCTTAAATTTTGTTCCTCCTGCAGTTTTATCATTTAGAGACTAAATATATACACCGAGGAATGCAATAAGCATGAATTAGAAAAACTCATTCACCATTTCCCTTCTATGTATAATGAATTATATGTATCTACTAATCCTGTTCTTGTTTCTTTTCTATTTTTGGACTCCTACTGTGACATCTAATTTTACAAGCTCTCACTTAATTATGATTATTTCTGTTCATTTGTTATACACAAACTTTGCTAATTCTATCCTCTTTATGCATTGGGTATTATAATAACATTTACTGATGATGCTGGAAAGGCATGGTTATTTAAGAGAGAAATGACTTTGAACGCTGCATCAGGCCAGCTGATATGCACCTCTCCCTCTCTCTCTCTCTCCCTCTCCCTCTCTCTCTTTTGTGGTGCATTCCATAAAAGTAGGAACTGGAAGAAAATCTTTATGCAAATGAATTACTTGGCACTTTTTACTATTTTTTTAATCAAGGACTAGCTTGCACCATTATTACTATGTACTGTTTTTGCTAGAGGCTTCAGGTCCAGCAACCCCAGCTGTGCTTCAGCATTAACTTTCTCTTGATTATATATTTGTACCTTGTACTAATCTAGGCTTGTGCAATGTGCTTTATGGTGAGTACACACAGTACTTCATAATTAGCTGTGAGGCAGAAGGAATTCATAGCACTAAGCTCTTTAATTTGGATAGTATTTGACAATATCTTGCCAGATGCAGTGTAATATACTACATTTTGCAATCTTCTTCACAATTTGTTTTATTTAACAGCCCCCAATGCATGCTGCCTAGCTGCTCATATTTGTTCTGTTTTTGTTCTGCTGCCTTAATAGTTATATTCCAAGCACATAACAGTACTGCACAATCGTCCTGTCTCTTTCATGAAAAGATTTTTATGATTCATTATAATGAATTTCAGAGTAGTTTTACTGCTCTTCTGTAGCTACGTGTACAAAAGGACCATTAGTCTTATTTAATATTTTATTTAACATGATTTGTCTTACAAAGGATGTAAGAAGTAGTGTACAACTAGTGATGGACAAAGCACAGAAGATCTATTAGGCTGGAAGGTAAGTGGTACAACAAACTGGGGTGTTGTTTATACTTCCTTATCTTGCTGGTCTTTTACCCTCTTAATGTATGGTAAATATTTAGAGTATTTTTCTTTTTGACAGTCATCCCACAGTTGTTTCTCCCATAGGAATGAAGAATGCTCTTGGAAATCATACCAAGTAACTGTAAAAGAAGCAATGATCCATTGAATAGTTCCCACTCACAAAGGTTCACCCACTCCAGATGACAGCTTACACTGGAGTACATTGTACTGTACATACTTTGGGCAGGATCCAGTGCTGGATTTGTGTTTAATTCAACAGAATTCAGAAGACATTTATCTTCCCATTTCATATCCCCCAGAGCATCCCTAAAGGTACACGCACGCACGCACGC